AGATAATATTTTGGTATGAAGATGATAGAATCTTGTTATGGCTCTCCACATATTTATGTTGTGTACATAAGAACTCTTTTGCTATGCAATTTCATTACCACTTCTTAACCTTCAATAACTCTTCTCTTATTGTTAGACAGATTTAACCGTTACACAAACAAATTTTCGCAACTAATTATGTGTGATTTCAAATTTACACAAGTTCAATATATAATTATATTATAAATATATAATAACTTATTTATACAAGTATATAATTTTATTATAACATTCGTACTGGTTGAGAAAAATTTGATTGTCCGAATCGAAAATGTTAAGCTACCTATTGTTGGCACTTTAAAACGTGTCAATCAATCACGTGTCAAAATTTCGTGATCTTTAAATAACATACTTACCATCCATAATATGTTAATACCTTGTTACACCATTTAGTGGGCATAATTAACACCACTTTTATCAAGTCTACAATAGTACTTAACTCATAAAATACAACAAGTACAGCAAAATACAACAATCCAATGCATAGAATGTGCCATAGCTGAAAAAAATACAGATAATACACAATGAACTGAGGAAGAGGAAAACAGTATCTCCCCCTTTTTTTTTGGTTTTATATTTTGTTCTTTTTCCAAAGGCAAACCCCCTTTCAGTTTTTCATGCACAAATTACATTTCCATCTATCCAAAAATAACAAAAAATATCTTGATAAAAACGATTGCACACAAAAAGCAAAAGACCCTCGAGGCACAGCGAAACTGCCCTTTTCATCGGAAGATTATATGAACCCGTACGAAACATAAGATGCAGATTTAAAAAAAAAAAAAAAAACAAATCACTCGCCTATTTTTGCCCTTTTCATCCCGAGGCTGCTGTTGAAAGGGGAAACCGAACCAGACATCCGGGACACATCGTCACGAAGGGAACCATTGAGCACGGCCAGTTCACGTAACTGCTGCTGCTTGTAATAATCATGGGATTCATCCTGCAAAAAAAAAAAATTGCAATTTTGATGAATGTCTTTAACGAGCTTTTCTAACGTTTAGTGGTGAAAAAGATCATCAAACAAGATTTTCCTCTGGTTTTTCCCCTTATAGAGAAAAAAAAAAAGAAACATGTTTTGATATTAGGGAAAAAATACATTTTTAGTCTTGTTTGTTTAACGCCGTAGCAATTTTAGTCCCAAGGTTTCAACTATTCGCCTTTTGGTCTTGTGATTTAATATTTAGCTGCAATTTCAAAAGACTGAAATTGCAACAGATTTTTAAATTAAAGAACTTAATTTGCCAATAAAAAATCTATAAATTTGGGAATTTGTTGCAATTTGAGGGCTGAAATTGCAACAAAATTTTAAAATTAAAGAACTTAATTTGCTAATAAAAAATCTATAAATTTGGAAATTTGTTGCACTTTTTTAGAACTGAGATTGCAACAAAATTTTAAATTAAAGAATTTAATTTGCTAATAAAAAATCAATATATTGGGAATTTGTTGCAATTTTTTAGGACTGAAATTGCAACAAAATTATAAATTAAATAACTTAAATTGTTAATAAAAAATCTATAAATTTGGGAAATTGTTGCAATTTCTTAGGACTGAAATTGCAGCAAAATATTGAAATCACCAGACTAAAAGCGAAATGTTAGATTTCAGAACTAAAATTGCTATGGCGTTACACCAGCAGACAATTTAGCCGTTCTGCCGAAAAAGGCTAAAGGAAGTTGTCAAAAGTTTAAAATAAACATATGGAGAGAACAAGGGAAAGAATTGGCAAAGATTGGTTTTAGTAAATGGAGGTTTTACCATTGGCTTAAGCAAATCTTCAATTATCTCACGTGCTTGTCTAACACGAGCATCGATTATCTCAACTGGCATCTCTGCCTCAATAAGTACGTGAAGAGGCTCGTTAAGGTGCTCATATCCAGGTTTTCCCCTCACTGCCGCTTCCTTCACAGATCATTAAAAAAAAAGTCCCAAGGATGATTATTAAAACATAAACATAGAAGAAAATAAAATAACAGAAATGGCTTAATTAAAACCATTGTAAGAGTTTTTTACTCATGAAAAACTCAACATGCACAAAAAAAATAAGCTGTACAGTTTAAAGCAACTAACAAAAAAGATGTTTTGTGTAGTAAATTAAGCTACACCCAAATCTTACCATTTCTGGATCCTTAACACTTCCACGTCCTCTGATTAGAACACGACACCCAGTAGCAGCTTCGACTCGTTTAAGAGAATTTCCTCTAGGCCCAAGGAGGCGACCGACAAAATTGTACTGCAAAAACCATACATCAAAATGACCTCAAAAAAAAAAAATGTGACGAGAAATCGCATGATAAGGGAAATTTTTTTATATTACATTTGGATACTGTTCAACTGGAACATCGATTCTGACGAGTCGCTTGACAATAAGACCTGACGGGCTACCGTGAGAGCCAAGCCAATTATGTGAGGAAGAAGGCTGAACCAAACCCGGCACCTGCATTTTAAAATTCGAGATATTGCAAACAGGAAGTATTGCAAACTATTATTAGTTGACTGATTCGTCGTATAAGGAATCTGAGGAAATTAAGTTCACTAAAAGCAATTTAAAATCGGAGGGCAAAACAGAAATTAACACAAACAAACATACAAAAGAAAACATCAAATATGCTGGAAAAAAGGGCCTATTTTTGAGTGTTGAGTGGATTTCAACTCTCGTGCATAAGCAGAAGGACGTTAGAAATGATACTTGTTAGATGCCAAACAAACTCGGCCAGACCTTGTCACTCAAATGTAATCAATAATGAACCCATAAAGTTAAACACAGATAATGGGGTCTCCTGCTATAGTTATTCTCATTTACTTAGCCAAGTCACTAAGTAGAAGTTGCATTTGTTAACGATAATCCATATCTATTATGCTCCTGTATGAGGAATTGTTATTTATTTTTTTTTTCTCTCCCTCTCTCTCTCTGTCTGAGATGTTAGCTTCAAACAACCTGTCGTCAAGCTATAAAAGTTAGTTTGATATTTGAACCATAAAGAATTTGTTTTGATAGACTCTTAAAAAAACATTAAAGAGCTGGATCAAACTAAAGGTTAGGTCAATAGTTAGCAACCATACTTCAGATTGAAATGGTGATGGCCATCTGTTGTTAGCGCCTCCATTTGTAAATATCCCAGCCGAAGCCAACGGGCTAGCTTGTTCAAACCCATTTTGTTCTAATACCGATGCATTCTCCAACAGTGTAGTTACACGCAATATTTCTGCTTCAAAAAGGTGAATTTTCAAGAATAACATGTAACCAGTTAGTGTTAGAGTTAAGAAATCAGCAAGCACTCGCCACATCATGGACTGACAAAAAGACTGTTCGTTCATTGGTTAGTTAAAAAATCAATATGTCCAATCAGAAGAAAATGTCAGTTCATTGTACACATTTAGAAAAATCTAAACCTAAGATTCATAAACCAACGATAACTAACATCATTAGGTCAGAGCCCTCAGAGGTCAGGGAAAGAGGTGGCATAGTTAGGCTATTTCTATTTTGAAATTATAAATAAAGATTAAAGCTTGAAGAGCTTTGGGTTTTATTACAAGCCAATAATAGAAGAAGAAAGATAATAACCTACAGAAAAATAAAGGAAGAAAAAGAAAAAAATAACATGCTAGGTCAACAGCCATAAACCACCATATACTACACAGCGAAAATGCTATGATTTTTAGTATTCGAATCTTTTAATGGGATGGTAAAGACGCTCATGCCATGAGATTCCATTTGAAACGATGTGTTCATACACTTGTCAACTATTGCATAAGCCAGCTATATCCTTCTGGAACTCTATAACTGTTCTATAAACAGATGCCACAAGATTTATAGATTTAGAATTATTAAAACACACACACACACACACACACAAACACACACCTTGATTCAGCAAACGATAACTATTTGGCAGCACAGCCACAAAAGGACCGATTTTGCTGCGTTCAGACAGCAACTCTGATAAGTACCTGCCCCCAAAACAAAAAATTTTCAGCATTCTCAGATAGCCACACATGAAATGGTTGAGTTCAACATAATGACACACTAAAACCAAACATTCCACCACAAAATCGAAACTGAAGTCTATATCTGAGCAGAATTCACTCACAAGGTTCTTAAATGGCTACAAACTAATGGTTGAGTTCAACATAATGACACACTACAACCAAAAATCTCACAACAAACTCAAAACTTAACTCTATATCTGAGCAAATGTCACTTGTAACCACCAAATTTACAGAGCTAGCATCATAAAAGAACCAACTCTGAAACTAAAAAAAACACACACACACTAAAGTAACAAGGATAAGAAGCTGTTGGGTTCCACAAGATCTCCCCCTAATACACACTTAAACGTTAAACCCACAAAACCTGGACAAAAAAACATGAGGAAAAAAACAAGAAATTACTTTTCTTGTTCCATGATGAGCACAGAGGCAGCGCGCATAACCCCGCCGCCACCTGCGGCTCCGATGTGCGGAGAGTGAGGGGCGGAGGGAGACGGTGAGTAAGCCATGTACCTTCCCGACGACATCGTTTCCGGCGGCGGCGATCGACGATCACCGCCGATCGAGTCCTCGTCCGATTAAATCAGTAAAAAGGGATAACAAGCGGCGAACAACAGGGAATCTGAGGAGGCGAAGAAGGTTGAGGGTATGGCGAATGATGGGGAGGAGTAGGGTTTGCGTATTTATTGAGGAGATTGAGAAATTATCGCAGGGTGAATGAGAGAGAGGCATTTGAGCCTCGCTGGCCATTGTTACTGCTCAGGTGAAAAGTTCGGATTTTCTCGGTAAGTTGTTTTTCCATTTTTTATTATTTTATTATTTTCATTTTCATTTTATTATTTTCATTTTCCATTCTCCTTATTTTAGTGATAGTTTTTTGTTTTTAATTATATTATATTTATAAATTTGCGTATCAGCTAGTACTATTTTATTCGTATGAAAAAAAATAATATTTTATATCAATAACGGTTTTGCCATGATCTCTATCGTTCTCGCAAAAAAAAAAAACAAAAAAAAAAATTGTTGTAAAACCAATTATTGGCTCTATACTGGAGCCAACATTCTATATACAACAAGTAAATCATACCATATTAATAAAATTATTAGTGTTATTTAAGTAATTAGAAAATATAGTACGACTTACTTATTGTATTAACCAACGGTTGGCTTTATAGCAAAACCGATGATCGAAAACCCAATTACAATTTACATCTCTCACCAACATAAACAAAAATGTGTAAGCAACAGCAGTAACTAAACAAAAGCACAGAGGTAAAAATATTAAAGCAGTGTTCAAATATAAACTAGTTTTTAACCCGTGTATTTGCACGGAAAGCAATATAATAGAACAAAAAATAATAAAAAGATATAAACAATAGTAAAAAATCATAATATAATCATTGGAAAAATGTTCTAAAAAGAATAACTAAATATTGTTAAACAATTTTGTATATACAACGTTTGTGGTTTTTCTATCAACAGCATCTCCATCACTGCAAATCACTGTCTTCAGATTAAGACATATAATGGTTTTATTTTTTTAAATAATTATTGTATTTTGTACTATAGATCAAATAGAAAATTTTACAAAAAAAATACTAAAAAAATACCAGCAAAATATTACAAAATAAATAATTATATTTAGTTGATATATAATGATATGTGCCAAATATTCAAGACATTTGAACAAAATGGCATTTTTTAGGCCATAAAGAAATATATTGATTGAATGATAAAAAAAGCCCAAATTAAAAGTCCACTTAATTTTTTAGGGTAGCCAAAATCAAATATAAAATAGGTCAATGATAACATGACTATGAATAGAGATAAACTCCTTGAGTGATGTAAGCCAATTTTTTTGTTTGATGTCGGCGCTTCTTTCGTTATTCTCTTTGTCTGAAACCCTAATTCTTAACCCGATCTTACGACAAACTCGGCGAGATTCAATACAAAACAAATGTTTTACCAGAGATTTTCTCCCAGTAAAGGCTTAAAAATTAAAAAAAAAAAAAAACGAAAAATGTTGTTTGGTGGCCAACAGTAGTGATCGAAAAATAAATATTCGTCTCGATTTATTAATATGTGTTGCTAAATCTTAACAGGTCGGTCAAAATCGGGCGATAATTACAAATCTATGAAGAGCTGAAATATTTTTTGTTAAACATATTGTTTACTTTTCATTATTTTCAATGATCTGTGTCGTTTTTCGAAATTCTTTTTGAATAAGCATCAAAGATATATCATATTTTATACATAATTCGAAATTATTTAGATGTTTTTCGAAATCGTATTTCAAAGAGAACATGACATTGGTCGTTTCAAACTTTTATGTATTTTGTTCAGGGTTTGAAAAATAGTAAGTTTCTAACAGATCTGTTCAGCTCTACTAACAAATATATAGGTAAGTTTATAACATATTTGTTCATTTCTGTTTATAACATACATATGTAACTATATGTATTTTGTCAGATTTTGAACACTAAATAGTTCAATTCTTTCTCGTCTTTCTCATCATATCAGTAAGTGAAGTTTTACTAACACTTGTTCAAAATCGCTTTTCGAAGTTGTTCAAAGTCTTTTGTTGAAGTTTTTCAAAGTTTTTAGTATTTTGTACAAAATTTAGAAATATTAGGTAAGTTTATAACAAATCTATTTAGATATATTTATCGCATATTAGGAATTTCTTGTTTAATGTTTAAAAGAATCTGTAGGAATTTTTATTTTAAAACTTTTACGCAAAAAATCGATTTTAATATAAAGGTAGATGTCTTGGTAAAAGTTGAATGTGATAGGGAAATCAAATTATTATTTTTTCTATATTGTATAGTGTCCAATAATGTTCCACATAATTTGTTGTTTTTTTTAAAAAATTTTGATTTTTTTTCATATGGATTTGACTTTTTTTGTTGATTATTAATTATGCTTGATATTTCTATATTATACAAACAATCTGCCATTACAGACAATTCCGTTACATACAATGTATTGTCAATCCTTATTCTTTGACTTTGCCAATTTCCGTTTAATATGACTTTTCTGTTGCTGAAAGTATGGTTTTTAATGAATTAAAATATTGATGTTTTAGATATATTTTGATGCTATAATCATGCAGAAATTTGTCCCGCCACTTTTTTCTTAAAGATGAATTGTTTAATGAAAATTAATCATATTTATATTTATAATTGTGAAATAATATTTTTTTTTCATGACCAGCAATTTTTTTTTAATGAAAAATATGAGACAGTTTATTCAACACACTTTTTAATTTATAAAACAGAATGTTGATTGCGATAATCAAATCTGCAGAAATCATGCATTTTACTGAATAGTAATAATATAAAATATTTTATTATTACTACCAAATGGAAAGTCAAAGATAGTTAATTTTGCACTATTAATTATGATCATATGATTTTTTTTTATACATATGTTTTTTCAGTGAACTTTTTAAATGATAATATTGACAATATAGACTTTGCTATAATAATTAAATAGACTGATAATCTATTTATTTACTTCATTAATTTTTAATTCATCTTATTATGCGTATAGTCTAACTTTATAAATTATATGTCATTTAAATGTATCTATACTACAAATTTATAAGGTTTTACCATTTGGGGGAGCTAAATTTTTATTTTATTTATGAAACTAATCTTTCTTATCATTTTGCAGCTATATGTTTGATGGAGTATGGCCGGAAATTAGATTACGAAAAAAAAAGAATTTCATTTTTTATATTGTAATGTAACATGATTCGTATTATAATATTTGTATTTATTACATTTATTAATATTTTTTTAACTTTAATTGCTTATTCAATTCATAATGGAATAGAAAATATTAATATATAGTTTATGCACAACAATAATAATTGCCATGTTTATATATATAAATGAAAATAAGAAACATAAATGTGGGATTAACTAAAAGAAATATTATTAATCTAGCCATTAACTAATTAGGCTTAACCAAACGAAACCTTCTTAAATGTAGGATTAGTGAATAATTAATTAAAAATATGTAACTCCTTTTGGAGGGAAAGTGAAAATATTTTTATTAAATGTTTTATTAAATGAGATTAGCTAGTAATTATATATATATAGACTTCTTTTAAATCTTCAAACCAACAAAAGTCACCCATTTTTTCCCCCTTTTAACTAATTACACAAACCCATGAGAAGCAACAGTCATAATAAATACACATCCCCACCTATCCTTAACCATTTATTTATCCACAAACTCTTACACATATATCATTATTTACAGATAACTTCAACTTCACTCCCTCGTCAAATTCGCGTACCAAGGCCCGTGAACAATAACCGACACTTTAGCCGTCACCACCAGCACAGCCCCGGCACGTGCCACATCATCAACGAGCAGACCAGCCCCAACCTTCTGCAATGCCACCTCAGCCAATTCTCTCCCTCTTTTTCCAGTTCCTCCAAAAGCAAGTCCTCTCATAGCCAAGTACACTGCTCGAGAAACACGTGCGAAAACCGGATCGTCTTCTTGCAAACTCTTCTTCAGCATTCCAGACATTATCTCCTTCATAGGCTGAATCTTGGCCGAGTCGAGCAATAAATCACTGTTCTCCTCATCTGCATACGAGGTGAGTACCTCGATGATGTCAACAATGCCAGCATCTGGGACCACGTCTAAACAAGTCGAGAGATGTCTGAAGCTGCTCGAAAGTATGCTGTCCATTTGAGCTTGACTGTTCAATACACGCTGGGTCATGAGAGTCTGTCGTAAGACTAAAAGGCTGCTCATAAAAAAAAAAAACATTTTTTAGGTGGTCAGAAAAGCAGCATTTGTAAATATTGTGATTCAATCAAATAGAGAGTTTTTTACCTTGTTGCTATCACAATAATTTTTTGAACTCGGGATTGCAAACTTCTCAGTCGAGTGAAATTAAGGGTCATAGTCTCGGGCAGCTCTCTTTCAGTTAGGCCAATTATCTTGCTCACTAACTTCAGTAGCCCTAACCTAACCAACAAATCAATTTCCTCTCCCTTACATTCCAAATGGGGATCGATCGTCTCTGGATTAAAAAAAAA